TTTTTCTGACCCTTCTCAAAAAGAAAAACGCCATAAAGCGATTTTCTCGCATCTCGTTAAAATGTTTCTCTGCGTCTATTTTCGTAAGCTCCCTCTTCGCGTCAGTGCATGGCCTGGAAAAACACACGCGCAGGTAAATTGAATATGATGTTCGGTGAGGAGGAAGACCCTTAAAATTTCCATAACCCCTTTCTCTCTTGCGCCTCACAGAAGCTTATTCCCTCCCATTTCTCGTGTCAAAATGGAGCTGTTGCTCATCAGCCAACCAGCATTAACCCTTTCCCAACGCCGGGCGCGACCGCGAGAGACGACGAGCACACGCCACATGGTAAATCCGTGGAGTCACAGTCGTAAGTAAATAAATTCCACTTTACGATGCGCCACGCCTATAATTATAATGCCGCGAGACCCTCTTCCAGCTCCTTCAGCGACTCCGGGCCCGTCATATGGGCGAGCAATGGGTGGCAGAAGAGCGTGAACAAAATGGTTTATGTCACGCGAGTGTATTTAAATTGGGGCTTCCAACGAATTTCACTTTTTTTTTCTCTTCTCTCGTCCATCCTCGAGGAAAGACAGCACACAATCGTCGAAAATACTCTCTGGGATTTTCGTTACGGAGAAAGAAACTAAAAAATGCTCCCTGTCTCTTCACTCCCAAAGATGACTGAACTTGTAGAGATTTGAATTTTTTATTATACGCACTCAAATCTTATTCCCCGTGAGGCTTTTTTCTGATTTTCCTCTCCCTGCGTCTCACTTTCTTCGACGGCCACGCAGCCAAAGTCACTTCTTTTTCCACTTTCTGCCTGTTTTCAATGTGCTCCGATTTTCGGGGTATCCTAGCAGTTTCTATATGGTAACGAGCAGAGTTGACAAGACGATAGTTGAGTGGGATTCGGCGGAAAAGACAATTTTGAATTGCATTTCAAGTTACTTCGTAACAAAAGGAAAGTCAATCGCGATTTCAGACCATTAACTTTGTGATTACTTATGCATTCTTTGATTTTTCGTGATTTTCATTTAAATTTAGATTGTTTTTCCACACACTGCCGCTAGAGGGCAGCAATTTAACGGCATATAGAAGTTCCGATTATATTTCCCAAATTAATCTATACCACAAAACGCCTCCAAAAATCTGTTAACCACTAAATCTTTCGTAAAATAAAATTAAAATAATTTTTCTAATTTATTTTAATTTTGACTATCTTAAAGGGTAATCAAGAATGGTAAAAAGAGGAAAAAAGACAGAAAATTTGCCACAAACTGGATTTGAACTCTCAAAAGCGGGAGTAAAAGAGCAGCGCTCTAACCTTAGGCCGAATATGCTTTTGGGAAATACAATCGGAACGTCTACATGTCTTTCCAAATTAGATTAACTATTCAGCTGATGATAAAACCTGATTTTTTTTAAAGCGAAAAGTCTCATTTTCGCGCTCATTTTGAAAATTTTGACTCATCTTGATCTTAAGCTACAACACAGGCTCAAGTCTGTCGATCTCTCTTCCCATTGCAAGATGAAAATCCTCATCTCTCGCCTCTTACTCGAGCCCAACTCTGGACCCCCAACTTTTGCTAAAGTTTGTTTTTACTCTCTCTCACTCTTCAGTGTAACTCCTCGGGCATTTGACAGTGATTTATTATCATTTTCATTGAGAACGGATCTGCCTGATCAAATTCTGTTGACTCTGCGGACTTTCTCGCCCTGCCATCCCAGATTCTCGACCCCACGCACTCACACACGCCCAGTGACCAGAGCACTCGAGGCCCAGCGACTGAAATTCGACGAGAGCACAACAATTTTTCAATTAAGGGTTACCATTAGTGCAATTTATTCATGTCGCTGTGAAATGAGGAAATTCGTCCGTCGAAGGCCGAAATTACATGAGTTCGGCGATGGCCTTTTGAGGGGAGGCTCGGCCACCCCTCATTTCTTCTTTGGGCCTCCCGTATATGAATAAATTCAAGTCAATTGTAATTAAGAAACACGCAATACGCCCTCCTACTCAGCCGCGTCCACGGCCGATTAAAAAGAGGTTCCACAACACTTTCCTAATCATGATGGTAGACGATTAGGGTGACGCTGCCGTCATCTGGGCCGGCGGTTCTTGGCGCTGCTGGCCAAGTAATTCACTAATCCCAACGCGTCACCCTACGATAAAATGGTGATATTTAATGGCATAAACAGTGGCATGGAAAATGGTCGTCTGGAACGTGGATAGGGGTCTATTCTCCAAGTAATTAAAATAATATAAATTACTCGGGTAATTGAATTTGTGTCAGTTCCATGCTTTATCGCTCTTGTCGAATCACCGCACGATGTAGGTTTTTCCGTATAAATAACTCCGCTTCTCAATTCAGTTCTCTGATTATGAAATAATTATGCATGTGGGAATTTCTCTGCCTGTGTTATTTAATTTCAATGGTTCGCCCATTGTTGACGGAGATGGATTGTCAATGGATTCGACAACTGCTCGTCGTACTTGGGGCTCCTCTTCTGTGGCCCAGAAAAGTGCACAATTGCCACATGGAGGCTGTAAAAACGGGTCATAATGAGACATCCCATTGACGGCTTTCTTGCACCTTTCGTCATGGCTCTCTTTAATTAATCCTCCTCCTGGGCCCACAAGAGAGGTCCTCTCGGCGTCTCTGTCATCATTAAATTGCAATAAGGAATATTGAGGAGCTGTGTCAATTTCCTCCATTCCGCCTGCGAAGGAGTGTGAGCGCCATTGTGGAAATGAAGGCATCCTTGGGGTCACTTTGCGTTATTACACATGATATTCGGCCCAGGATCGGCTGCCAATCCATCATCTTTATGCCATTATTGGGACATGGTGGCGAGGCATTTGGACAAAAGTGTGCCGAAGAGTGAGACATTGATTTGGACCATGTCCGCCCAGAAAAAGGGAGTCCAATATGTGTGCACTTATTAAATGGCGTCAATGGAGGAAGTTTGTGGGGTGGACGGAGCGAAAAAATGAATAAGGACACCATTCCTGACATGAGATGAATGGACAGAGATGATTATGATGTATTCTCTCCGGTGGATTCGCCTTCTTATTATTTCTCCTTCGGTCAGGAGTCACCCACTGAAAATGAGACATTGATGGCTATCAGGTTCTAAGGAGAAGTTCGCATAGAGAGCGGATTAAATTGCGGATGACCTCTGGCGATGCCCAATGTCAGGCGATTGATTGGGTGAGAACATCACGTAGGGAACCCTTCTGCGGAAATCTTCATGTTTTCCCACCGAAGTCTCCGATTGGGCGTTGAGAGAGAGAGAAGATTTTGAATAGATCCAATACAACGGAATGTCTCTATAAACTCTAACTAATAAAATTCACTCAAATCTAGTACTTTTCAACTCTGTGGCTTGAAGAAAAATCGAAGAAGAGAAGCTGATTAATTATGGTGTGGAAGTTTTCGGTTGAATTTCCCACACCAACAGGCCAAGACCTTCATCCATCTTCCTCTCTGTGTTTTTCTCTGCTATTTCCCCGTTAACCCTTTTGCCGGCTCCGCCTCTGCAACTTGGCATGCCATTAGGGATTGGTTAAGTGGTATCCCTCTTGATCTCTCTCTCACTCGAACAACCCTTCCCCTTGAAACCCTTTTTCATCTCACATACGCGGCCCTATGTAGTCCTCAACTCTTTGCTGTGTGCGAGCACATAAGGAGCCATTCACTTGACTCGCTCTCACTTTCGCTCAAGGGTGAGTCACTCTTTCACTTTCAAAAGGGTTGCGGAGATGGCAACGTTGTTATGGTGACTGCCATTGGCATGGGGAGACACGCGTTTTTGCGCAGGGAAAACCTTTCACCCTCCACATGCTTTTCCGCCTCGAATGGCATTTGAGCTCCAGCGACGCTTTCCATCCGAGAATCAAAGCACGGATATTTTTCCCAATATCGCCATCAAATCCTGTGCTAACTCGCGAGAGAGTGAAATGTTTTCACGAACTTCCGATGCCGATGATCTTAAGTGGCAGTCGAATGCCACTGGAAATTACTCTCTGAACCTATAAACTTTTCACTTTTTCCCACAAAAGTGTATTATTTGCACACCAAAGAGTCTCCAGAGGAGAAAAAAAACTGAGACACTTTCAAATATTGACAGTCCTGTCGGGAATTTCGTTGTGATTCTCTCATTTTTTTTTGTTTCTCCCATTCAACAATGCCCAACAAGACATTCACGCGGTGATGAAAGTAAAAGTTTTTCCACTTCTGTGGGTAATTTGACACTTTTTCACAATTCCACGACATATTCTCAGCTGAGTGATTTTTTTTCTTCTTCTTCACCAGTGAAGTTGACAGAAGCGCAGTCCAAAGAGCAAAATTTATTCACTTCCGGCATCATTTGATGATTATTGTTTGCTGTTGAAAAGTAAAAATGCTCAAGGTAGAATTTCACTCTCATCCCCAGGACATTGGCCAATATCTCACTTCCTTGTAAAAATCTCACATGTGTGATTTTTTGCGGTTTTTCTCCATCAATTCCGCCCATTCTGCAACATGAGGATAAAATTACTCTTTGCCACGAAGGAGGATTCTCAAAAAGGGAAAGTGCACCCTCGAGGAGAGTTATTTTGAATAAGCATAAATAAGACTATTTTCTCTCCCTCCCAAACAAATCAACTCGCCACGCTATTGGTTATAAAAAGGCTGAGATGCAGCAGCAGAATTAACTCTCCGTTTTTCCCTCTGACAAAAAAATAAAGTCTTGTAATTTAACATCTGTGCGGCACACGCGGAAGTGTTTTATATTCCAAATCACTCTCGGGAAAGAGAGTCCTTTTTTTCTGTCGCGCCTCTGGTGGAAAAGGGGGATTTTTCTATAATTAATATGTCGTCGAATTGAATAATTAACCATTTTCCGAGTGGCACAGATTGAAAAAAGAAGGTGAATTTTTCTCAAACTCTCAAAGACATTTTTATTACCAAATGATTGAAATCAAATTAAATTGCTTCACACAGTGTGATAATTGAACTGCTTATCGCCATTATTTCACACTCTGCGTCTCGATCCAGTCCACAAAATCGTGCAGAATGACGAATGTCGCCGGACCCTCGGCGCATTTGTTGACAGAGTACGACGCCACGGCGTAGACGTACGTCTTGTGATGCTTCTTGTCGTAGTAAACCAGGCCAGAGCCCAAATCTTTGCCACAAAGTGGCAAATGAGTCTCAGAATTTGTGCAGATTTCAGTGGATTTCAGGTGCGGAATATGACCCTGACAGTAGCGCTGGTCCATCACTGTAAAGACATTGCAAGTAGACTTGGCAGAGTGCTCCTCGTGCGTGCAAACGGCGAGTGGAGCCAGTGTGAACTGCTGCACTTTCCAAGACTTCTCCGGCAGGTAGACTTGATGCACATTGCCAGTGAAGACGAAGGCTTCCTCGACAACGGCCAGCGCGAGATTCTTCTCCAGCGTCGTGGGATTGTAGCCCGGATGGACCTTCACAGTTGCCACAGTTCTCTCTTTATCCGCTGCCACCACGACAAGTCTGCCAGCGTGCGAAAGACAGTCGGCAGTGGACAGCACAGTTTTGGCGCCAATAATGCTGCCCGAGCATTGATGCGTTGGAGCTCTGCTTGACGGATGGCTTGGATAAATCTTCACCTGAACCACGTATGTTGGCTTCAAGGCTTCGTCTGGCACGAGAAGAGGCTTCTTAGGAGCAGCAGTTGTTGGCAATCTTGTTGGCGGCTGCAAGAAATCAGAAAGAAACGACGGTTTCAGACCTCAACTTTACCGCCAACAGAACTTACTTTGGCCGCTTCAGCGCCAAGAACCACCAAAACCGCCAAAAGCACAGCACTGTAGTGAAATTGCATTTTGCACTGAATTTTCTCTCCTGCGCGGATGTCTTTTATACCTCAGGAATTAGGGCAAGGCAGGACTATTCGGAATGGAATTGTCAAGAAGTTTTGTTTACGCTGCAAACCAGTCCAGCTTCCCCTAGCATTTATCAGTGAGAAATGCAAGCTTTGTCTTCCATTTCCCTTATCACTGCTCATTTGTTGCTCGCGCAGAGTCATTAGGAAGCTTAATAGAGTAATTACACAAAGCTCTGTGATAAATTTCCCAGAGTTCAGTGCACTTCAATTGGCTGATCTTGTGGGAGGATTCAGCTGCTGAGATCTCTAAAACACCCCCGAGAACGTGCGAAGCTGATATTTTTGCGGATTTCCAGGCAATTTCACCATCCTTTTCACCATAGCTCGATTGTCCTCTTCATCCACGATGGCTGATAATAAAGTTTTCGTGTTTTCGATTTCTGCAATCTGGCATGTGAAATGATTTATATCCCTTTTGTCTGCCTGAACTTGGCAGAGGCGCACTTTTTGTGGATGTCAAGATGCCAAGAAAGGAAGGGACTTGTGGAGTAATTTATATGCTGTTTTTCAATGCACACATCTTGTTCACAGTCACCGCGATAAAGTTCGTGATAATGACGAGATTACGTGGTTCTATTCACTCGACGGAACGTGAAAATGCATATTTTCACTTTCATTATCCTTTCGCCTTCATGGTGAGTTTCACCATTGAGTCCTTCTGACTGGATTTCGAAATCTCGCACCATCATTTAATCTCGGGTGTTTATTGTGATATTTATTGTGGTGATTTTCTCACATATAAAACGATATTGCCGCAGAGAAACGGCTCTCTTTCAACTATCCTGTGAAATATTTCTCAGCCCTTTTTGCTCTCCGAGGAGGTAGACAAAAAATCAGGTGAGATCCCTTCAAAGGGTTGCCTTTAGGTCCCATTTATTCTCTACCTGATCTCAGCATCGACCTGCCACGAAGACCTACATTTCTTAAGCTCACGCTGCCGAGTGTAATTGCACACAAAACCCCTTTATTGGCAAAAGGATGCGAAGTGCCTGCGTACCTGCTGAGCAGCAGTGCCCTCGATACCTGCGAGAGAATAGAGGGAATTACTGGAGGTACGAAAGGTAATCCTTTCGTAACACTTTCCTGACAAATGATCCGCTTTCTCAGGCTTCTCAGGCAGTTTTATAGACGTTGGCAAGGAGTGATAGTGGCTTGGAATGCTGCAATAGCTGATTAACACCACTTTTTTAAGTTTGATGAACTTCCTATTGATCCTAGGAACCAATTGTCTTTATGGTATAAATAAGGATTGCCCAGAAATGCTTCAACCTTTGACACATGATAAGAGAACTGCCAAAGGTTAATTTATTCTTAGAAAAACACATTTGCTGATATTGCTTAATATCAAATTCACTGCGCAAAATATTTCTTGAATTGACTGAGAAAAAGGTGTCTAGAGAGGAAAAAACTAATGCTTCGATGTCAGTTGAGGCAAAAAAGTAAAAGTGAAACCGAAGGATGGGTAGAAAAGGGATTTTGAGAAAGGACCGGACTTCTCATATCAAATTGCAACAAACGAAGGAAAAAGATGGATTTTATCTTCGTCACATTCATCTTTCTCGTGAGGCTATGGGAGAATGTTTTTGGCCTATGGAGTGCGTGTGAGGACTTTGTTTTCCAATCCTGGCCCATGGGAATAATGATGGAGAGTCCTTTTACGGGCAAATTCCCCCGAACCGAGTCACTATGGAAACGTAACACCCCGTTTGTTGGTGCACCCACCACAATAAAGTTGGCATTTTTGCCCCATGCGTGCGATGAGAGAGGGTGAGAAGAAATCCACCCTTCATGGTCTGTCTCGCTCTCGTGAAAAACACTCACAATCCATCCTCACCCATGACATTCACGGCGATTATTTGCCACTTCCACAATGAGGTCTCGACCATGGAGTGATGCAACGATCACGATCACGCCTGAGGGGCTGGATTTTCACGTCTGGAGCAACATTTTGACACACAGTCGCAACATATGAAATGAAAAAGTCCATTCACCTGATTTCAAGGTTCACGCTCACCCAGAATGACCGGAAATCACTCTTGGGGCACTCAATATCAAATAGAGATCAAATTGCATTTCGGACAATACACAACTCATCATCTCTGACCATATTTCCCACACGGCGAAAAGAATTATTTCCACCTCATCTTTTCAGGTATGTCTTGCCATCTGTTTCATATCCATTTGGCGCGGCATTGCACAAAACTGACCCTTTTGCACAATTTCTCATTCACTCCAGCAATCCATCTAATCATCAATAATTTCGAGAAACCTTTTCTTCTCAATTTATTTAGGTTTTTTTTTGCTCAACTTCAGGCCACTTTTTGTGGGTGTTTTTTTTCGGAAATTTCGCTTTCATTTCATCCACTCACCCAGATGACCTCGCAAATGATCGGACAATGGGAAGATGTGTGAGAAAATTTTACTCAAATGTCTTCAGTTGATGATTTCATGAAACTTCTTTGATTTTTCTCCATTTCCCGCGTAAAATACTCATCAATAGGTCAATTTGAGGTGGTGAAATAACTCAATCCATTTCAGTAAATCCAACTGAAGACTCTAGAACGTCTCTCCTTGAGGGACATTCAGGACAATGGCTGTGGAGAATTTCAACAATATTTTGGGGTGAAAGTGAAAGAAAATTGTTCTCATTGAGTTTTTGGTGGTTTATTCAAATCCAAACAGAAAAAAATCATCTTTGTGCGAAAGCGACTCGTTGAGAAGGGGAAAAACATCCTCTTGGCGAGATTGTCCCACAAAAGGACTACGATTGTCCGCCAGCGTCCTCAACATTGGGGATGACATTTTGAATCATGGCCAAAGAATGTCACCTATTGAAATCAATTCAATGACAAATTTATATGTAAATTCACATTCGATGTTGGGACATTATAAAAGATTTTCTGAAGAATTCAGTTAATTTTATATCCATACTGAGGATTTCATCGTTCCATTGTGTCCTGACCCTTCCCTTTCTCCCTTTTGCGCCACTTCTTTTCACCATCGCCAATCTCTCTTGAGGTTTTCGATATGGATGAGGAGCATATTTAAAGCATACCTGAAATATTATGCAACGTCACAGATTCCCTCTCAACCCATAACAGCAAACTCACACCTCTTCCCTATGGGTGGATTTTCGGGGGGGGGATGAAGAGGTGATTCTTTGGACAATTTGTTCACATAATGTCGTGTGGATTTCTTTTCTATATGCCTGAATAAAACTGACCTGTCAAAATCGGATATGAAGGCCCAAAAATACGACAAAACACTCCTGAAGACACCACAGGAAGGGTGCTTCGGAAGTTCCATCGGTCAAACCACCCTCAAACTCCATCGCCACACTCTCTATCCACTGGCATCGGAAGTGAACCACCCTCTGAAGGTAGAAATTTGTGGACAAAAGTACAAAACTTGTGTGGACTTAACTGCCCTGAATAGAGGAAAAATTTCTCTTTGATATCCCCCTCTTTATCACATGTTCCATTTCTCAAGGAGGTGAAAGACATTCACCACCCCTTCGTGTCACCCTCGAGGGTTGGATTTTCTGCCGTCGTAAACCACTGTCCCGGGTGGAATTCGTATTTTGATTTCCGGTTTGATTTTTCTCCTCCCCCTCCCCTTCTCTCTGCCTCTGGCGCCGCACCAAAGAAGCCCAAAGGCGCGTAATATGGGGCATTTCCTTGCAATTTCTGGGGTTGAGACGCTCGCTGTGCGATGGAAAGGGGGGAAAACACTTGGAGAAGCTTTATTTCAGAAATACAATCGACAATTTTACATCACAATCACTGATACGACAAACTGTAGATGCAATTCGAGAAGAACAATTTAAAGAGCAAGATATTCACATCTTTCCATTCATAACACCGAAATGAAGATTTAATTTGGACACAACAATCCGAAATCCGCGAGTTCCAATAGTGTTGAATTGATCTTCAATTTTCCTCTCTACAATATATTGCAATTGTGGAAATTGGGAAGAAGATTTCCAACAAAAAACTTATGTTTTTTTCCCTCCCATTCTCACTGATATTGCATTCCTCGATTCTCCTGCTGAAAGTGACACTTTTCTCCTCTGCGGTGTTTTTTTCTTCTCCTTCTCAGCTACACTTTCGAGAGCCAAGGCTTGGGGGGTGAATGTGGGGGGGGGGGTGGAAGTGAGTCCTGACCAGGGAGTCATGGAGTTGACAAAAAAAAGCTCGTGGGGTGGAAGTGAGGCAAATTGAAGGGCAATTTTTTCTCCTTATTTCGCACAATCGAAAACCATCATTTCCTCATCCTTGAGAGCGCTGAATCACCTACACACTCTTTTTTGCACGACGTCCTCTGCTCATTTCCGTAACAAAGGTCGATGTCTGCAGTTGACGGCCACCCCCAAACCCCTATCGCTCGTGAGTGGGTGCGATTTTGTGTGATATTCCGGGGGTTGCTCGCACCGTGTCAGTTTTTCACACGGAATCGGACATTTTCTTCCTCCCGATTTTTATCAATCTCCTCGGCATTAATTAAAAAGGATTTCCACCGTAGGGGCGAAGAAACACCAAGGAGATGTGCAGTGAATGGGAAAGAAATTGAAGAGGTTGAATTTGAAACTGAAGAATTTTTCATGTGAAATTCAATATTCCACCCATCGTTTAACAATAAATGATCAAGAAATCCTCAAATTGACCGTAAATCTTCAGATGTATATAATGAAAAATCTCTGCCATGGAGAGCGAGAAAAAGATCAAGTGTCCTCCCATTCGAATGGCAAAGAAAGGGACTTTTTATTGAGAGCCCAATAAGGAAGCGAAAAGGAGAAATTTTTCTAGAAGGTGGATGAAAAAAAAATTGCAAAATCCAGGAGTTTTTTCTCTTCTTTTTCTACCTTTCTGGCAATGTGGATGAATTTAAATCCTCCAGCTGACAAGTCAAGTATCATCTTCATGCGTGGCACGATATAT